GAACGCACGTGTGGAACGGTGCCGAGGCGCGTTCAGGTGTGCGAGCGCGTGCGCAGGCATGCAAGGAAGTGGCGCGAGTGGGTGTGATGGTCGGGAGAGAGATTTCCTCGATTTTAGAAACTCTGCGTGTGCCCCAATGCCCCCTTGCGCACATCGGCGCATTCGCCCTGCAGTCAGCATCGTGGCTGGATGGTATGGCCCCCACGCCACAACACCACCCTTGTTTTACCTCCCCACCTCCCCACCCTTCCCCGCGCTCCCCCCAACAGGTCACGAGTGTGTTCTGCACCATCTACTACCTGGCCTACATGGCCACCAGCGCCATCCTGCTGCTGAACCTGCTGATAGCCATGATCATACGCACCTACAACGCATCACAAAAACTGGCCGAGTCGCACTGGCGGCGCCGCTGGGCATTGTGGGTGCCGCGCTGCGGGCCGTTGCTGCTGGGCGCTGCTTGGTCAGGGCCGTATGCAATGCTGCCGGCGCAGTCACACTCACACAAAAACACACACATGCACACGCGCGCACGCATGCGCACACACGCGCGTGCACACACACACGCGCACTCTCTCTCTCTCTCTCTCACTCACTCACACACAAACCAACCGTCAACCTCCCCAAAGGTATTGTGTCAAGGCCGAGCGCCGCATGCCCTCGAACTGGGTGCGGCGCCTCAGGCTGGGGCAGCCGGCCTGGGACCCGCTCCGTCGACGCCACCTGTACAGGTGGGCAGGAGTGAGGCGGGTGCTGGGCCCGCGTCAGTGCATGAGCATGCTGGACGTGCTTTCGCCTGCGCGTTGGATTGAGCTGGATCAAGCACGCATGTTCATGTGTTGGAAACGATCTTGCGCCAGCCGTGTGCGCGCACGCTTGCGCCCTGCACTTGCGGCGAGGGTGTGCAGTGCCAAAGGTGCGCACCCCAGCTACACCACCCGCCAGCGTCGTCCTCTCCCCAGCTTGCCATCGTTCTCTCAGGTCACCGCACCCCCCCCCCCCCCGCCCCCCCAGCCACATATTTGAGGAGGTGGATGACGACCGCAGCAGGAGGGAGGACAGGGGCGCCCTGGACAGCCAGATCAGGGCCGTCACTGAGCTGCTGGAGGGACTCAAGAGGCAGCGCGGGGCCGCGCCCTCCGGCGGGGCCGCTCTCCCTGCGGCGGGGTCCTAGGCCCGCCCTAGTCATGGCCGCGCCCGCCTGCTGTGTTGTTGTTTCGGCTCTTTATGGGACGACGGGTTGAATTGGTGACTGCACACACAAATATACGCCTTGTCCTTTGCAATCCATCTCCTTCACCCTTGCTGTTGCCACATTTGCTGGGCCAACGCGGGAGCGCGCAGCGCAGCCCGGCCCCGTCTCTTGCTCGGCCTCCGTCCCATGAGCAGGGCTGCAGGGTATCGTCGAGCTTGGTGCGGCAACACTTGGCTTGGTAGCGACGCCGTCGTTCGCGCATCGCCCTCAAAACCCTAACAGGCCGATGGACTCCGGCCGCCTTTGTCAGCTGTATCACAGCGACTTTCATCCTGCCCGGCATATTGCCACGCGCACTGCCCACTTGCTTCCCACGATGAAAGCAGACCAGCCCGCCACAAGGCGGGTACAGTGTCCATCCACAACCCCGGCGCGCAGCAATCACTTGCCCAGTACCAACCGCGACGGCATTGTTACTCCAGCGTGCTGCCAACTGCTAGTGCGCGAGCGCGTGGTCCCTCACCCCAATGCACTGTAAATAATGTTTCAACAGCTGCTGCTGGGCCGCATCCACCCATCAGAAGCAGTGTGTGTGTGTGGCATTACAAATGTCAAGACGCGGCGTGCACTGCGCCGCCAGGGGGATCGACTAGGCACTTCGTGGGGGCTGCGCGCCATCCTGATGGAGGGGCGACCCCGGCAGCTGCAGGGTCGAATGAGACAGCTGAGGGGCAATCGCCAGGGCAGACTCCAGGCCGTACGCACAGCCGCGGCCGGGCTGCCTTTGACCAAGAGGCAGCGGCAGGGCGCCTGGCCCCAGCAGAGCCCGCGGGGGGCTGTGGGGAGGCGTTGCCAGGCGCGGGCATCCAGGAACAGGGCCGACCTCCCGAGCGCGCCCCGCCCCTCCCTTGCCCGTGCCGTGTCCCACAGTCCTTCCTCTGCCAGGTGCTCTTGTCCCTGCCTGCCACAAAGACCCGTCATCATGTACACACGCAAAGCCAAAAAGAGACATGTGCGCGTTTGCAGGTGCGCTGGACCTGTCCTGTCTAATAGTGGTGGCCGAGTGAGATGCCAAACCGCAGCGCCGCGCCCCTGCATCAGGGCGCGCCGCTGGCCGTGTGCGCGCCTTTCAGTGGCCCCGCGCCCAGTGAGGCGCGCCAGCTGGCATCCAACGGGTGCGGGTGTGACGTGTGGTCGGCCGCGTGCGGGCGCGGCAGCGCTGTGCCGCGCCCGTGCGCCAAGGGTTGCGTTTTTAAAGCCTGGCGCCGCCTTGAGTGGGGCGTGCGGCTCCTGGGGAGGGGACCGCCAGGCGCGCACCCGCCCCTGCCTTGAGCACAGGCGCTGCGGCCACTCCCAGGCACGTGTGTCCGCCATGATGTCCCCTCAGTCCCCCTTGAGCCGGCTGGCGCCGGAGGTGTGCCCCAGCACAGACAGCTCCAGGCGGCTCCACCCGCCGCGAGACGACACACCCGCGCCACCGCCGCTGCCGCCGAAATCGCCGCCGCCGAAGCCGCCGCCGCCGAAGCCGCCATGCATCTCACCGGCCGCAACGAGTCATTCAGCTTTGGGGCGCCCGTACAGAAGCGTGTCCTGCGCAGGCCGTGGCGCAGCGTGGTGCAACGCAGCAGCCCTCAATGGCTTGGCCCGGGGCGCCCCCTAAAAGCAACGCAATGCGGGGCTGGTGGCCCGACGCGTGGTGCATCACGACGACTCACGCCGCACCATGCCCAAAGTCACACACCAGGAGCTGCGCACACTCCAGCCCTCCACTCCTCACCCCCCAGAAAATCACCCCCAGCCCGCGCATAGAACCACGCACGCTCACATTCAGGCGCATTCACACACCTTGCCTCCACGCACAACGCCCCCCTCCCACCCCACCCCCCCACACACACACACACACGCACACACGCATGCTCGTGCGGCGCCGTCCCACCTGCTTGAAGGGCATGTTGACCATGGCGTACAGGATGGCCCCCGTGGCGTAGATCAGCAGCAGGGTGATGCCGTAGCTGGTGGCTTTGGACGCAAACGCCTTGGCGTCAGCCGCGGTGCCGTTCTGAGCCAGAGACTCCCCCATGCTGCGCCACGCCACGCGGGGGGCTGCACGAGGGGGGGGGGGGACGTGGAGAGGGTTGTTTAGAGTCGCGGTCAGGGGAGCAACCACAGGAGCAAGGGACGTGATCTTTCTGTACCCTCGGTCATCAGCACGACGCAGCATGGCAGGGTGGGTTTGCTGTGTGCAAACCCACGCAGCACGTGCGCCCCATCTGCCATTCACAAGAAGCAGCCCACCACAACCCTCACCAGCAAGGAGAGAGCGCCGCGCCGCGCGCTTCCAGGCCGCGAGCGACTCGTTGGCGCCGTCGGGCCCCTCAGCGGACCCCTCGCCGTCAGTGGGCCCCGGGCCGCTGCCGGGCGCGTCCCCCAGCAGAGTGATCTGGTACACCACGTCATCGCCGTAGGCCTCGGCCACGCTGCCCGCCAGCCGCCCCAGCGCGCCCGCCAGCACGCGCGCCGCCGCGTCCAGCGCGCCCGCGCCGGCCGCGGCCGCGTCGCCGCGCAGCGCCTGCAGGCCGACCAGGGTGGCGTGGTGGACCGCCACGTCACCGCCGCGCCGCGCCGCCAGCCTGGCGCCGTGCAGCGCCGCCAGCTCGGAGCCAAACAGGCGGCCGGCGCCGCGGTCCAGCGGCAGCTCCCCGCCGCCCGGCAGGCGCAGCGAGGCGGCCGCCGCGCCGCCGGGCCCCGCCACCAGGTCCCCGCCCAGCCGCTGCGCCGCGTCGCGCAGGCTGGCCGCCAGGCACGCCGCGCCGCAGTTCTGGGAGGTGGGGGGGTCCAGGAGGCGAGGGGGCGGCACAGTCGACTGGATGGCGGCTGAAGTCCGGCAGCGAGCCCTGGCCCGCCAGGAGGCAGCGGCGCTACACACGGCAGCGTCGCTGCTAGGCAGCCACTGCCTAGGCGAGCAGCACGCTGGGGAAACCAAAATTGGGGAAACCCGTCCTCACGCGCCGGCCACCCTGTGCCCCACCTCTGCCTCGATGTCGTCGAGGGCGTCGAAGATGACGTCAGGGTTGGACGCCGCCATCTCGCCCTGCCACCTCAGCAGCTCGTCAGCGCCCGCGGGCGCCCCTGCCCCGCCGGCCACCCGGGCACGCAGGGATGTGCCGCCGGGGAGGGCGGACGCGAGCGCGTCGAGCGTGCCGTCCTCTGGCGGTGGGGAGGGGCGTCGTGACAGCACGTGCTGGGTGCAAGCGCTTGGGATGCGTGACATATCGGGGACGGCAGACACATTCCTGCCCGCCTGCTATAGCACAGGGGCATCCTGGACACTCGCACATGTGCCAACAAGACTCAATAAGTACGATGCCACCGCAGGCCCATGACATCGACGCAGGTTGCCTCTACAAGGCCCACCCCTCACCAGGGGATACACCGGCCAGGTTGAGCAGCACCATGGCCTTGGGGCGATCAAATACGCTCGACTTGACGAGGGATCCCACCTGTATGACGGGCGAAAACCGTCACCGGTCTCATACTGTGCTGTTTGGGGGCGCACAAGAGGCCAAGCGTCAAGCAGCGTCGCGACAACCCCGCTCGGCGCCGTGGTGCCATCGCAGCCCTCACCTGCTTTGCGGCATCCCGATCCAGCGACTGAGGTGGTAGGAGTCCTGCTAGGCTAGCTGTGAGGCCGGCCGCGGAGGCAGGGCCGAGCAAGACCGCGTCCTCTCCCCCGGCCTTGAGGTGCCGGCCAGAGCAGTCCATCATCATGATGTGAGAAGCGCTTGCCATACCTGCACCTATACACAGCACCAAGACAGCGACGGCTATCAATCGCCCCATGATCAGATCACTGCTCGCTTTCCACGACAAGGTGCAGGCTTGACTTTGTAGGATCACAGCGTGTAAACCTACAAGACTTTTGACATGATAGAACAGCAGGCAGGAACATGCGAGGGTGCAAAGCAAGTCAGCTAGGTCTACAGTCATACTGTACAATGGTGCGAGCGCACCAGGCACGATACGGAGGTGGCCCACATCATAGTGGTTAGCTGGAGACAGCATGAAGTGCACTGGGGAGACCGGGGTTATGCTGTACCAACCACCATTTATACATGCGTTTGTTATATGTCACGCCTGGGTCACCATGTTGTCCCTGAAAAACTTCCCCGCTGGCTGTCAACCCGCCGCACGGTCACAGCACCGCGCTTCTTGCCTCAGTCTAAATGAGACAGCAGCAATTCTAGTGCTGGCATTGCTGGCCAATGACCTGAGTGCTGCCTGGTCGCAAATGCTGCGCCTTGCACTGACCTTTGCTCGCCGTGCACTGAACGCCTCATCGGGGCCTGACAGCCCTCCCCTGACACTAGACAGATCTACATCACAGCAAGTTGGGGCATTAGAGTTACAAACACGACTCCAGCCTGGCGTACATGTGCGCTGCGCTGCATTGCAACCTGGCCGGGATGTGCGTCGAGGAAGACGTAAGGAAAAGTAATATGGCGAAGGTGCACAGGTTGCTGGCTCAGGGGCAGATGCGAGCAAAAACACAACAGATTGCGCAGTCAAACAAGGCTAAAAGCAGGGTTGCCTCAGTCCCTTAGATGTATGGCTCCATGGATGAGGCGTCAGCTCTTTGGGTCTGTGTTTGTTTCATCATCATCGGCAACCTGCTGCTGGTTGGGAACGCGCTCACCCTCAACGGCATGCACACCGTCACGCACACGCAAGGTACACACTCACCAGGAGACCTGCTGGAGCGGCAGCCAGCAACTTGGTCGACATCTCCAGCGTGATGCAGCCTGGATGAATCAGAACGGGGCGTGCTGTAAGAACAGGCGACATACGCACAGGCGCAGGCAAGCTGACCGCGTGACAGTTGTGGAGTGTTGACAATTGCGGAGTGTTGCCAGCCGTAATTCGTCCGCGCTCAAGGCGCTAGCGCTAGCGCGGACGACTCAACAGCGGCGGTTGCTTTGCGCCCGTTGGGGACCTGTACCACCACAGCGCGGCCCGCGATGCCGTGCTTGCACGCGCAGGTGATTCAGGGAAGTTGGGGCAGATCCTTGCGACCACACGCAGCAAACCAATCAAATCGCGAACACACAATGCGCAGGACACGATTGCCAGTGAAAGCAGCCACCTCAAAATGCCACACGCTGTGCGAGGCCTCAGGATAAGCGAGTTGTCTATCAGCGGATGATCAGTCGGTAATTCCATTTGTTGTTGTTGTGAAATCATCGGCGCTCGCGCCATGCAACAAGCAAAGCGGCACGGCAAACCGTGCACGCGCTTTTGCAGGGGTTTATGGCTCAGGACTTCTTAGAGGGTTATTGTTTTGTCACATCAGGTGTCAGTGGATTGACAGACAACTTGTTCATCTTTGCCGCCCCTTGCAAAGACGCGGCACGGAAGCGCACATGCCAGATGGACACGTGCCCATCTGTACAAACACACACCCACAAAAACACAAACAAGTGAAGCGCACACGTGTTTCATGCAACTCAGAAGCGAAGCACATGTACGACTGGCACACCAGGCGAGGGCAGCTCTCAGGAACCCATGGATGCATCACTCGGATCAGCCGGCACTTCCTAACATGGGATGTATCGTCACAGAGCGCCCGTAGCCCACACCAGCAAACACAAGCAGTCAGCTGGGAAAACCTGGGGCAATGGGAGCGTTGCTGCGCTGCCAAACGGACCGCTCACCCAGACGGATGGCTTGTAGTGGCCGAAAAGTCAAGGGGCCTCGTGTATTGCTCAGGCAGGCCCTGATGATGCGTGGTGGCATACGAAGGGCAGGGTCGTCAAAGTGATTTGGCAGACAAGAGGGTGGGGCTCACACGCACAACATGGGCAGCCTGGAGTTGATTATGACAATGTTGAGGTGTGGCCCTCGCGTGGCACCGACTGCACCACTGGAGGGATGTGTCAGTTTCCTATATTGAGGGCGCTGTTCTTTCCGCCAACCTTGGACAGCCGAGGTCAATGCGCACGAGGCACTACCACGGCCGTGGCAGGAAGGCGGTTGTGGGCCCTGGGCGGGGAACCCTACACAGCAGGCAGGCTCGATTGCGCGCGCGCGCGAGTGGTGTGGGAGGCGGGCCAGCGGCGCGATGCGACTGGTGGTAACACCCACATTGCTGGTGGTCATGACGCCGGCATCGTGGGCTCAGTTGAACCTGTTGAATGCAAGGCGTGCCAAGGCAGACCCGGTGCAGGGGGTGGGGGGTGGGAGGGGGGATTGGTGGGTGCAGGAGATGCAGGAGCTGCCGCAGTGAAGGAGTAGCTTGCCGTAAAGCGGGCGTATTTGAGCATAAATTGACACAGCAACGGCACTGGCGCGGCCGAGACTGCAACACGAGCTCGAGTTGCTCTGGCACACTAGTTTGGGACGTCAGAGGCACTGACGCAGCCAGGAACGCCCGGAATGGGAGAAGTGTGCGAGGCGCGCCCGGGCCGGGCGCACAGGGGCAATGCGCAAGTGCTTAAAACCCGCGCATAGCGGATGAAGGGAGGACTGCAAGAGGCAGTCCCCCAGCAATGCGGTAGCTGAAAATGCAGGTGTGCCATTTAGCGGCAGGAAATATGCCAGCGAGACAGGTCAGCGCAGGCCCATGGAAGGGCGAAGCACTGGTTTTTGGTCTGGCTTTGGTCGTTCTACGCTCCCCATGACACCTGCTGTTCACACAAGTCACAGCAGGCAACGCCTCTCGTGAAGAGCGCATAGTGCATAGTGCATAGTGCATGTGGTCAGGCCAGGAAGCCAGCTGTGCCAAGACCACCACAGCGGCTCACCAGGCGAGGAGGGAGGGTCCAGTCGTCAAGTGAGCAGTCGCAGGCGAATGCGACGAGGCGGTGTCTTGGTGCAAGGTGACTTGAAGCCGCAAACTCTCAAAGCAGGTGCATCATTGCCTGCCATAGAGGTTTGAACAGGGGGAGAGCAAGAGCCGGCCGCGTGGGGAGGTTAGCACTGCATGAGAAGGACCCGGATGCGCAGCGGTATCAAGCCGTGAGAGGCTCAGTGGTGGCGATTAAGTGTTCGATTCCATGCCGGCTGTTTTCCTCAAGGTATTCAGTAGAGGGAACCTAGGTATCCTCATCGCCTCTCAGGAGCGTGGGGGCGCCCCGACAGCCCGTCGACATGCCTGCGCATGCCGCAAACAGCAGCCGCCGCCGCGGCCGGCCGTGCACGAGGGCAGGCGGAACGCACAGAGACCCGAGTGCTCACATGTTGCAGCTGTGTTGTGCAAGGTGATACATGATATGATGATGGGCAACAGCCCGCAGCTAGGAGGAGTTGATGGAGCAGCAGCGTGAGCCGCCGCCCTGCTGGAGCCGTCATGGTGCGGCCACCAGGCATCATCAGGGCAGGGCGGGGGCTCACGCCCTCGCTGTCTTGAACGTATTCAGGCCATAGGCACGAGCAGCGGGCCAGCGGCGTGCGGAGTGTGCCGGGAGGCCAAGATCATGTATGTATGGCGGCTTACGCCGTGCGGGGACGCCATTCAAGCCATAATAACTGATCGTGATACCGAGCGTATGCATGTTGGTGTTCTGCGCAGACTTCTTATGCTCCCTGCGTGTCGATTTAGGCTTCAGATCTGGCAGCTTCACACAGCGGGTGCTGCGGTTCAGCACCAAACTTACCGTACAAGGCATGACACGGATCTTATTTCCTTGGAACTGTGCGCGCGCTCGTCTCAAGCCTGCCCCGGTGGCAACCGCACGGCGACGCACGCTGCACCCGGTCCGTCCACCAGAGCACACAAGCCAACACCAGCTGCTGAACTCGCTTCGCCTGCAGGACAGTGCGAACCTGTGGTGCCTGGCATATAGATTTCACTCGAAAAGCGCCTAGGTAACCATCCCTATTTGCCAGATGGCTCCTCAACAGCGGTGGTACAGCGGCACGTTTGCCCGCACAGCGCTGCCGATGTTTGGGTTTGTGCTGCTCTGCTGGTACGGCCTTGACCAGCTCGTCAGCAGCAAGCTCAAGATACGGGTGCGCGGTGACAAGGCGAAGGGATGGGGCAGCAGTCGCAGTTGGGTGCGATACGAATGCTTGGTCCCTCGACAGAGCAAGCCGCTTGCGCAGCTGCGTCAAGCACCTGGGATCAGAACCCCCATCCCTCAACCCTCTCACACTGCCCACCCCCAGCAAAGCGTCCGCGGCTACGACAAGGTGGAGGAGTATGACCCCATAGAGCGGCTCAGGCGGCTGGAGGGGGCGCGCGGCGGCGGTGGCAGCGGGGGTGGCGGTGGCAACAGTAGCGGACATGGCAGCAATGACAGCGGCAGCGGCCCAGGCAAGCAGCCCGGGGCGGCAGCCCCGTCTGCGCTGGCGTCGCTGGAGGAGGAGCTTGCCGCACTGCAGGCCAGCCTCAAAATTGACGACTTTGATTACAAGCCGGTGCCGCGGACGGTGGATGATGAGGAGTAGGCCAGGCTGTGTGGCGGCTGGGTTGCACTGACGGTTGGTTTGTTTGTTGGGTGCGGCGTTGGACCATCTTTGAGCTGGAGGCTGCTACGTCCTCTGCTATGTCCATGCAGGATCATGTAATAGCGCTCGTTGGCATTAACAGTTGGCAACAACCAGCCGTCTATATCAAGCTCAAAAAATGCCAAGCCAAGTCAAGCTCATGGACACAGCAACTGGCACAATGCAGCTTACTGACTGCACAGCATGCCGCAAAACGGTATCACCACCACAGAGGACCGCGCCCCGAGCAGCAGCGCTCACGGCCTCTGCCCGGACACACCTACCAGTCCGGAAACTGCACCAACCTGAGGGTCAGGTACTCCTTGTGCGGCGCCGCTAAGGCCGCACGCGCGGCCTCGAGCTCGGCCTTGCCCTCGGGACCCCCCTGCAAGGCTTTTGGGGCCTGCAGACATACATCCACACGCGCCAAGGACGCCGGCCGCAGCGACAACAGCGGCGCCAACAGTACGGTGATGGACGCCTCCCACCCGCCGCCGCTGGATCCACGCTGCCCGCTGCCCTCACCAAATTCGACGCCCCGACCGCCCGTGCCTGCCGGGCCGGGGACGAGCGGGGGCAGGGGCCCCAGAGACACCAGGACGAGCGAGAGCTCTTCGAGCCGGGTGAAGAGTGGCAGCGACAGAAGGCCTCGCGCCGCAGAAGTGGGCGCATCTCGCCCCCAACCGTCGCCCGGGTGCGCTGAGTTCTCCAGCATCAGGCTGAGGCGCCTGAGGCGTGCGCCCATTGCCGCGCCTATCAATGCCAGGACCTGGGTACATGGCGAGTTTGTGGTGGGAGTTGCAGTGCATGATCAGGGCGGATCAGCAGACGGCTGCGCACGTCACTGGCTTGCATCGCCAACAGCAGGCCGAGCCCCCGTCGGCGCACGCAGTGCACGCCGCGGCTGGCGTCGTGCCTGCGTGCGTGGCCGTTGCATACCAGGCGTGAGCGCATGCGTCAAGCGACGCGCGCCTTGCTCTGAATGTGCGCGCCCCCTGCCCCGCCCCCAAGCTCACCGCAAGTGGCTCCCCCGCGTGCCCAAGGTACAGGTCAAGCTCCTCAACAGCACCGCCCGCCCATGCTAGCGCCCACGTGCACAGCCGGCGGCTGACCCACTCGCCCGCGCGCGGGCCTGCCAGCAAGTCGGGCTCCATCTGCGAGATCTTCACAGCGCGCAGCCGCGGCAGCTCCGCCAGGAAGCCCAGGCCATCGCCGCCGTTCAGCTCGTCCTCCTCGTCCTCTTCCTCCTCCTCGCGCTCACTGAGGATGCGGCACTTTTTGAACGTCACCCGCTCCAGCGTGGGATGCTCTTGAAGCGCCGCCTCCAGCCGCACGCCCCACTGCAGGGCCTCCAGGACGGACAGGGAGGTCAGCTGCGGCGCGAGCCGCGCGAGCACCACATCGGACGGGCCCAGGCGCATTTCCTTAAGCGTCTCCGGCAGCGCGGCCGGGCTGCCGTGCGGCAGGAGGACGCCTGAGTCGGCATAGAGGACGTCCAGCGCGGGGGCAGCGCGCGAGATGCCCGCTATGGCAGCGGCGTCGAGCGGCTCTGGGGCCAGCAGGTCGGCGTCGGTGACGTCATCCTCAACAGCCTCCCTGGCGCCAGCAGACACATAGGCACGGGGCGTGGGAGTGGCGCAGCCGTCGAGGCGGGTCCGTCAAGCAGCGGGCTGGCCGGCGCCTCGGACACATCTCAGCGCGTGCGGGTGACTCTCACGCATCCCAGGCGATTGCACGCATGTACAGCGACACCCAACTCCATCCCACAGCTGCTCACCGTGATGTAAGACACGGGCCACGCAGCCGCAGCTTGGTCAGCGCCGCCAGGGCCCCGCCCTCGGCGCACACGCCGCGTAGCGCGCCCTCCGCCACAGCCGGCAGCGCCTCCAACACCCGCAGGCGCGCCAGCGGCGCCAGCCGCAGCGGGCGCGCGCCCGGCGGCTCTGGGTCGCGGCCTTCCACCCTGAGAACCTCGAGCGCTGTCAGGGCCCCCACCGCAGCCGCCACGGCGTCCCAAGCCTCGCGCGCCCCCGGCTCGTCTGCGGGGCCATACCTGAACGCGAGCCACGTCAGGCCGGACAACTGGGGCAGGTGGCGCGATGTATCGCGGGCGACCAGGCCGGTGCAGTTCTGGAGGTCGACGCTGCGCAGGGTGCCCGCCGCCGGGGACAGCGCCGCAAACAGGCCCGTCGCGCCAGCGCCGGCGGCGCCGCCGGGCGCGACCCTGGCGTCCCCCAACAGCTGCACAGAGACCAGGTTTGGGCAGCGGGCGGTGAGCAGCGCGAGGGCGTGCACGAGGTCGTCGGGGCCGGTCAAGGAGTCTGCCTCAATGAAGAGCGACAGCACCGAGGGCCACGCGGCGCCAGCGGCCTGCAGGTTTTTGGGGAGCTCCACGGCGGCCCCGGTGTGCAGGTACACATGCAGGGTGGTGACCTGATGAGGTGGAGCCAAGCAGGGGCAGCATGGCCTTGACCACCGGCGTGCATAAGTGAGGGGGGCTTTGCACCTGGCTCAACCGCCGCGCTGCGCAGGTGGCACGCGTCGCGCCCGGCGTGGCCTGGGCCTCGGCAGGCAGACGCGTCGCGCCGCGAGCTGGACCCACCCGCGCGAAACGAGTGCCGATGTCCCGCAGGCACGTGGGTGACCTCCTCATGTCATTCCAGTTAGTTTCAGAGGAGGAGACATGGAGCTGCGACAGCCTCGCCTCCACCGCGGCGCGCAGGGTGCGGCACGTGCGCGCCACCGCGATGGCGACGCTCTCATTCTCCCTAGTCGCCAGGCGCGGCACCAAAGCTTGCCACAGCTCATCCGACGCCATCGTCTAGAACGTTGTGGCGTTTGTCAAGACTTGATGCGGGCAATGTGCGGTGCGCTCTGCAGACCGCTTGCGTGGAACGGTCAGCAGCACTAGCCGAGCCCGGCAGCGCAGGTGCACCACAGGCACCAGCAGCTCCAATACCTTGGCCTAGGACAATCCTGCCGCCTTGGTAGGTCTCAACGGCCGTTGAGCTTACAATATTGCACTATTAAGGATAGCCATCCGTACAGTGAAGATCTGATGATGCTGCCGGCCGCTGGCGGGGTGCGCAACTTTACATACGAATGAATACTTAGGTCAATGTAGATCTAGGCGGCAATTGCAGGCGTCAGGCTCAACCTCCCGGCGTAGCCGCCTCGTCCCGGCCCAGCTTCCGCCGCCCCGCGTTCAGCTTAGAGCAGGGGGGTCTTGGCACCGGCTGGGCCAGTGGCATGTTTGTGCGAATCTAGCAGCAAGCAATGTGTCCATGCACCCGCACATGCATGCCAACCCGCAACACCTCTCGCCCGTCCCCACATCGCCACGGCTCAACGATGCAGCTGTGATCGGAGAGGGCGGCTTTGGCCGCGTCTTCAGGGCCATGCTCGTCGCAACACCCGTCGCCATCAAGGCAGGACAGCTGTGTAGCAAGGGGCTTCCATGTAACCCCACAACGCCACCCCCTTGCGCTCCAGCTGCTTGGAGTTGCATGATGACAACACCCCCACCCTATGCCCCCACTGCGACGGCTGCGACCTTGAAGAAATGCCTTAACATGCCCTGCTGGACTGCCCTGCCTACACGGACCTGCGGGCCGCGCCGGGCTTCGCACCCTTGCTTGCGGACCTGCCTGCACATGCCCGATATGCGCCCTTGTGCGCAGCGCGGACCAGCATACACTGAGGGCCTTTGTGCACGCCTGCTTCGAACGGCGAAGAGTGGCCACTCACACCCAGCTAAATCCCTGTCACACAATGCTGATGCTGCAAAGTCATATCCCATGAGCCTGGATGGCTCCAGGAGCGGGCGGCCGCGGGATCTTGTAACAACCCTTATTTTAATTCATGATGCCCCCTCTGGCTCCCCCCCCCGGCCCCCAGCCGGCCAACATATTCATTGACGGCGCCCTCAACGCAAAGCTGGGGGACGTGGGCCTCGCCGCTGCAGCGCGTGAGGACTGGACCGGGGAGGGCGCAGTGCGCTCGCAGCCTGGGGGCGGCTGCTGCTGATTATCGGGCTCTGCAGCGAGGAGGATTGGGTCAAAGGCGACTGTATTGTGCCCAGGTGATTCAACGATGCAGAGGATGTATACGCGGTACAGGCGCCTCGCTCATCGTCACAGCGATGGTCAAACACTCGCCCGCGTTCCGTGAACACTCAGTTGCTGCCAAGCTCGCGCGTAGCTGATTGGCGGCCAGGAGTGTGCCCGCCAGCAGATGGTAGTGTTTTTGTTTGAGCATAGGCAAGGAAGAGTTGAGAAACTGCACAAATCATCTGCAAGATTAATCTGTGTGACAGATTGTCGGTGCTTTCGGTTGTATTTGCAGGCTGTGAAACACGATTCCCCTTTTGCATGCACTGCTCACTCACCTTGACATCGTGCATGCAACAGATACTGCTGCCTTTGCCAGCGGATGTTTGCTGTGGTAGCCAGCTAGCCACGAAATGCTGCTGCATCAGCCGCCCCTATGCTGCGCCGCCCACATCGCGGCGGATGGCCGCCATTTAATAGTCAGTTGGTTATTTGTTGAGTGCGTAGTTGCGCCACCTTTCGGCTGCATGCTGCTATGTCCACTGCTCTGTCCATCCAGGATGAAGCAAGTTGGCTCAATCTGGCATGATTGAGGGCAGCAAGCAGACGTCCATTGCAAGCTCAAAGTAACGCATTGTGGCAACTCAAATCATGTGTCGAGACACACCAAGTGGAAATACACAGCATGCGGACTGCACAACAGTCCGAAGCATGCTGACTGCACAGCAGGCCACAAACCAATCTAACTGCCGCAGCGGACCGTGCCGTGAGCAGCAGCGCCCACAGCATCCGCCCCAACACAGCTACCAGCCGCTGCCAAACTGCTCCAGTTCAAGTTCCAGGTACTCCCGGTGTGGCGCAACCAAGGACGCGCACCCAGCCTCGAGCTCGGCCTCCCCGTTGGGCCCCCCATCACGGGGCATCGGGGCCTGCATAACTATTGCCACTTCCACCAGCGACGCCGGCCGCAGCGACGACAGCGGCGCCAGAAACGCGGCGATGGGCGCCTCCCAGCCGCGGCTGCGGGATCCACGCTGGCCGCCGCGCTTGCGGCCTTTGCCGCGAATGTCCCTGCGTGCCAGGGTGGGGGCTGCCGCGGGCAGGGGCCCTAGAGGCAGTAGGATGAGGACGAGCTCTTCGAGCCGGGTGAAGAGCGGCAGAGACAGAAGGCCGCGCCCTGCGTCGCCGGGCGCGTCGCACCCCCAACCGTAGCCCGAATGCGCTGCGTTGTCCAGCTCCAGGCTGAGGCGTCTGAGGCGTGCACCCATTGCCGCACCTAGCAAGGCCATCACCTGGGTTTCCAAAAAAGTTGGCGAGCAATGGCGGGGGTTGCGGCGCGTGTGTGCCGCTCAGCAGACCGCTGGGGATGGCGCCGGCTTGCCTCATCAACAGCGAGCCGAGCCCCGGTCGGTGCACGCAGTGCACCCGCCGCGGCTTGTGTCGTGCCTTCGTGCGTGGCCGTTGCATACGGGGCGTGTGCGCGTGCCGTCGAGCGACGCGTGCCTTGCGGTGGGGGTGCGCTCCAACCCCTGCCCCCGGCCCTCGAGCTCACCGCGAGTGGCTCCCCTGCGTGCCCCAGGTACAGGTCAAGCTCCTCCACAGCGCCGCCCGCCCACGCCAGCGCCCACGTGCACAGCCGGCGGCTGACCCACTCGCCCGCACGCGGCCCGGCCAGCAGGTCGTGCTCAAACCGCGAGATCGTCACCTCACGCAGCTGCGGCAGCTGCGCCAGGAACCCCAGGCCGTCGCCGCCATTCAGCTCGTCCTCCTGCTCCTCGTCCTCCTCGTCTTCCTCGTGGTCGTCCAGGGCGAAACCCCTGTCAAACGTCACCCCCTCCAGCTCAGGGTGGCTGTCAAGCGCCGCCTGCAGCCGCACGCCCCAGTCCAGGGCGTTCAGGACAGTGAGGAACATGAGCTGCGGCGTGAGCCGCGCGAGCACCACGTCTGACGGTCCCAGCCGCATGTCCGTCAGCGTCTCCGGCAGCGCGGCGGGGCTGCCGTGCGGCAGGAGGATGCCGAATTCTGCGGAGAGCTCGGCCAGCGCGGGCGCGGCGCCCGCGATGGCCGCGACGGCCGCAGCGCCGAGCGGCTCGGGGGCCAGCAGGTCGGCGTCAGTGACTTGATCCTCAACAATCAACCTGGTGCCAGCGCCCGCGGACACGTGGGCGTGGGGCGTGGGAGCGCGCCGCGGGCGAGGCAGGGCCGTCAAACAGCGGGCTGTATGGGCAGCTCGGACGCGCGTGCGGGCAATTCTCTTGCGTCTCAGGCACTTGCACGCGCCAACGGCGATCCATAACTCCATGACACAGCTGCTCACCGTGTCTTGCCACACCGGCCAAGCCGCAGCTCGGTCAGCGCCGCCAGGGCCGCCCCTTCGGCGCACACGCCGCGTAGCGCGCCCTCCGCCACCGCCGGCAGCGCCTCCAACACCCGCAGGCGCGCCAGCGGCGCCAGCCGCAGCGGGCGCGCGCCCGGCGGCTCTGGGTTGCGGCCTGCCACCATGAGGACCTCCAGCGCGGTCAGGGCCCCCACCGCGGCCGCCACGGCTTCCCAGGCCTCGCGCGCCCCGGGCCCCTCCGCGGGGCCGTACCTGAACGCGAGGCACGTCAGGCCGGACAACTGGGGCAGGTGGCGCGAAACGTCGCCGGCTTCAAGGCTGGTGCAGTCTGGGAGCTGAACGCTGCGCAGGGTGCCCGCTGCCGCGGACAGCGCTGCAAAGAGCCCTGTTGCGCCCCGGCGCGTGGCTGTTCTGCGTGTAGCGCGGCCGGTCACGACCCTGGCGTCGCCGGACAGCTGAACATCCCCCAGGTTGGGGCAGCAGGCTATGAACATCGTGAGGGTGTGCACGAGGTCTCCGGGGCCGGTCCTGGAGTCTGCCTCAATGAAGAGCGACTGCACCGAGGGCCACGCGGCGCCAACGGATTGCAGGTGCATGGAGAGCTCTGCAGCGGCCCCGATGTGCAGGTACACATGCAGGGTATGGACCTGGTGGGGTGGAGACAAGCAGGGGCAGCATGGCTTTGACCACCGGCTTTGCATCGAGCTCGACCGCGCTGCACAGGGGGCCCATAACGCGCCCGCTGTGCCTGCGACACCACAGCCACGTCGCGCAGGGAGCTGGACCCACCCGCGCGAAACGCGTGCCGATGTCCCTTAAGCACGTGGGTGACCTTTGCGTGTCGCCGCGGGGAGGGTCGGAGGAGGATACATGGAGCTGCGACAGCCTTGCCTCCACCGCGGCGCGCAGGGTTCGGCACGTGCACGCCACCGCAATGGCGACGCTCTCATTCTCCTTGGTCGCCAGGCGTGGCACCAAGGCTTGCCACAGCTCATCTGACGCCATCGTCTAAAATTTTGCGGCGTTTGTCAAGAATTGATGCGAGCGATGTGCGCTGCGCCCTGGAGACCGCTTGTGCGGAACGGTCAGCAGCACTAGCCGAGCCCGGCAGCGCAGGTGCACAACCGGCACCAGCTCCAAGAGTTTTGCTTATGACTATCCTGCCGCCCCTGTGGATTTCAACAGCGGTTTATCTCACAATGTTTCAGTATCACGGATAGCCATTCTACGGTACGGTACAAAAGATCTGATGATGCTGCCGGCCGCTGGCGGGGTGCGCAACTTTACATATGAGGAAATATTCAGGTCGGTATTTTCAAGTGCGCGAATGCGGGCGCCAGGCTCAAGACGCCGGCGTAGCACGCCTCGTCCCGGCCCAGCTTCCGCCGCTCCTCGTTTCAGGCAGCAGCTGAGGGCAGGAGGGGGTCTTGGCTCTTGGCACCGGCTGAGCCAGCAGGGTGTTTGTGGGGATTCAGCAGTGAACCCATGTCAACGTGCCTGCAGATGCATGCCGACTCATGCAACGCGCTTCGCCCATCCCCTCAGGGCCACGGGCGGCCTCAACGATGCAGCCGTGATCGGGGAGGGCGGCTTTGGCCGCGTCTTCAGGGCCATGCTCGCCGCCACACCCGTGGCCATCAAGGCGCGAACCCCGCGTCGAGGGGGCCTCCATGCTGACCCACAACGCCGGCCCCTTGCGCTCCAGCTGCTCGGAGCCCCACGACGCCTTGATGTGAAACGACTTGTGCGCAGCCGCGTGCGTTCATGCCTGAAGCTGAGTTGCCCTCCGCCCGGCCTCCACCCCCACCCCAAAAACAAACACCACCAGGTGATGGACGAGGGTGGCCTGCAGGGCCAGGCCGAGTTTGCGAACGAGCTCGCGCTGCTGTCCCGCCTGCGCCACCCCCACCTCGTGCGCCTGCTGGGCTGCTGCCGCGGCGGCGGGCCGCGCGGGGGCGGGGCCGCCCTGGTGTACGAGCTCATGCCCGGCGGCAGCGCTGACGAGCACCTCGCGTACAAGGTCAGACCGGGGGGGGGGGGGGCGGCTACTGCGCGCGGGGTGGCAGGGCGGCAGGGTTGTCGCGCAGTTGCTGCGCCTGTTGCTGGGCAGGCCTTTCTCGAGCCCTTGTATAACAGGGCGCAAAGGACTAGCAGTGACGAGGGGAGTCAAGCTCAGGAGCAGAGGCTTTTGTTTTTGGATACCCAGGCCGAGCTTGCTGGGTCCTTTGGTGGCGCTCGTCCTACGCCCCCTCTTTGCCCCTGCCGTGCCCCGCAGTCGGGCCGCGCGCCGCTGGCGTGGTGCTGCCGCGTCCGCTGCGCGGCGCAGGCGGGGGCCGCGCTGGCGTACCTGCACGCG